TTGCCAAACAGTAAGATTTTTGTTGCCCTTCGTGGATTCATTCACACAGAGGTTTCAATCCATTAACATTTTATCTATTGGCCTTTTAAAACTGCTCAGCATGCATATTTAAATAGAACACATGCCATCTGCCCACACTTTAATTAGATTTTTTTATTATACAATAATACATTTGTTTTGATTTCTATTTTGTTTAATAAAAGTGAAGAAAAAATGTTCGGCCTTTTAAAATGCCCATCATCAGAACGTTGCAGATTATTACCGTTGAAACCTGCTTAGGTTCATTAATGTATTATCACAGGCGTGTGAATGTGATCATTGCCACTTCCATACAACTGTAGTGAGCATCAACCTGGAAAAACAGACTGCAAACTTACAAATACATTTAAAAGCGAATTACAAACTGTGGAAAAGATGCCTCTGCCACGTGCTCTTGAAGAAGCCTTCTGCAAGCCTCCTGCCCAAGGACTATGGGCCATGTACAAAGACCTGTAAAAAGAATGTGTGACGGAATGAGTACTGTGCCCATTCGCTTTCCTGCTTATTATTTTCAAGTCATCAAGCTGGGGATCTCCCTATCTAAGATGCAATGTATTGTTTGTGGGGTCCCCTTGTTCGCAAATCATGTTTGGGCTGGATTGGAAGATTGTGCTTGTCCCATTCTGGATTTGATATTGGAACACGGGGAATGATATTGAAACAAAGGGGTTGTTTGTTCCTGAAAGCTGATGAGCATTAACATGTCAAAGGACTTGTGGAATTGTGTGTGTGTGTGTGTATGGATATGTCACATTGTGTGTTTGGTAGTGTGTGTATGTGTGGGGGCTGTTTGGGGTATAGCATGTGAGAGGCTGCATGTGGGGTTGTGTGCATGTATGTGGATTGTTAGTGGTATTGCGTTTGTGTGTATGTTTGTGCGGATTGTGTGTATGTTTGTGTGGGCTGTCCCTATTATTTGTATGAGGAGAGGGTCTTTCTACATTTCTGTGTACATCTAGCAGTGTGGGTGGCTTCCCTGGGTTCCAGTGGGGAACAGGCCGGCCAGGTACAGGTCAAGGACAGGAGCTGCAACAACAGCTGCGAGCTGCTCTACTACTGTGTGGATTCCCATTCACAAGTGCTGGAATGAATTGCTCTGAGATCACTTCCTCTACGCCCCCCAAACGCATGCAAAGCCTACAGGAACCACAGCATAGCCATACAGTTTAAGTTCACCCACTTTATATAAATAAAAAAGGTTTACAGTGCAAATACTGCTTAGAGCTCTTCCCTGCTCCTTAGTGGTCTTTCCTCTCCCACCACCCTTCCCTACTAGTCTCTTCTCACCCCCGTATTCCCCTCCTGTGTTCTCATCTCTGCTTCTCCTCACCCCCTTCCCTGTGTTCTCCTCCTGTCACTTCCTGTCAGTACGGCCGGGAAAAGGAAACTGAATCTCCTGTACCGCGCGGTACCCGGCCGGACTGACAGCCAGGAGGAAGAGGAGCTCGGCCACGCTACAGCCAGAGAAGGGGAGGTTATGACGAGGAGTGCTGCAGCTGTCTGAGGCTCTCTATAGAGCGCTCAGGCCAGCTCGGGGCCCCAAGCAGTTGCTTGGTTTTCCTGTCTGGTAGCGACGGGCCCGGAAAAGGGGATATTAATCGAAAACTCCTTCAGAGGGAATCTAGGTGGATTTACAAATTCAAATTTTTTTTTTCCGATGGAAATATTTTGTGCAGCTTTACATTAAGTAACATGTTGAAAACAACTTGTTGTTTTTTTTCTACATTTCCCCCCCTCTTTTTGTTGTCCATGACTTCTCTGCCACATTGTAAATAGTACAGAACTATAATTTTAGGCTGAGACTCCATTATTATATCTAATGGATAAAGAAATAAACAAATATTAGCAGACGTGGTTTATTTATAGATTGAGGTTAACATAATTAATTATTTAATTAATTAAACTTTTTCTCCTTGCCGATGTTTACTTGCTCACGAACATGTCATGTATTGGATGAACAACTGCATCACACAGAATAGCTCATGAGTATGACAGGATGACTGTGACTGTAAGGGGACACTATAGTTACCAGTTTATTGCATTTGTTCTGGTGATTATAATCTTTCCCTTCAGGCTTTCTGCTGTAAACACCGTTTTTTTCAAAGAAAATGCAATGTTTACATTACAGCTTAGGGACCCCTCCACTGGCCACTCCTCAGATGCCTGCTACAGGTGCTTCCTGGGGCAGTGCTGCAAAGTAAGCAGCACTGACATTAATTGTCTCCACCCTCTGCATAGAGACATTGAACTATGAGGAGATGCCGATTGGGCTAGATGGTGTTTTTAGCACTATAGGAATACATGTTTGTGACCCTACAGTGTTGCTTTAAGACTTTACTTTGACTCCCTAACTATGTTTTAGAGACTTTTTTTCACATTCAGATATTAGGTAGTCCCGTACTGGTAGAGCTTCATTATGACTACACATCTATCTCTGTGCTTTCATCACTCTCCTACAATTCGTGGATTCATCACTGATTAATAATGACAGCAGTGACCCGTATAGGTTCAAAACAACTATTATATTGCTTTTAGCCAGATCTGGAAAGTAAGCCTATTTACTCTGTAGCTGATACTTAATACTACAGATCACCTTTCTTAGGATATTAAAGTTACACTTTCGAACTGGATGAATTAAATCCATTGAAGTCTACAGTCTCAGATTAAAAAGCAATAAAATATGTCACAGGCAGCACAAGCAGCAATTATAGTATCCCCCGCCCAATGCCGATGGGTTGGACACATGTTGGACTGTGTCCCACCTGCTATTTTACTGGTTCATCTCCAATGGCTGCCCATTTTCTAGTTGTAAACAAACATTTAGGGTAAAAAGATAAAAACCCTTGGCGCGAAGGTTAATTATGTGGCAACTGGCCAGTGCTTGTTTGCCAGCTGCCATATTAAAGTAGTAAAAAAAAATCAACAAAACACCTCCATATACCCTCACCCGCCATCTGCCATGTGGCAGAATGGAGAGAATGTCTCCTAAATGTTTAAAATTAGCAAATGGGCAGCCATTGGAGATGAACCTGTAAAATAGCTGTGGGGGACATAGTCCAACATGTGTCCAACACATTGGCATTGGGTGGGGGATACTGTAATATTAATGAAGGAGGTCCTAGTGCACCCACTGGCCCCCACACATGTGTGATAGGAGGGGGCCCTAAAATATATATTGTAGTGGGGAATGAAGTATTCCCCCCCCCTGCTGGCCCAAACCCATGCGTGACAGGAGGGGTCCCTAATAATATATGGTTGAGGATCTAGTGAAGCCCCCTGACCCCAACCCAAGGGCAACGGGTGGAGACCTAATATATAAATAATACATGGGAGAGTCCCACATTAATAATAAAATAGAGGGTGTGGACATGCCATTTTCCATGCCCTCAATATTAGTAGTAGCCCCCGGGAGGCTAGGAGAAACGCACCTTGCCAACCCACTAAAAGTGATCAAAGTTTTTAAAAAAGTTATATACTTACCATCAGAATCTATGATTCCTGTGCTTTATATTGTTTCGGATGCAGATATTATTGATTTTCCGAACTCTTCTGAATGAATGTAATAGAATTGGTAGGACTGACCAAATCTTAACTGAATATGTGGCCAAATACTGACTGTAAATCTGTGAATTGCCAATGCATTCAGAATTCAGTCATTGTTACGGGTTTTGTCCATTCGGAAAAAAATCTGATGTTTAGTGTGAATCTAGAAAAAGTGGGCCTTTCCCCCCTCTCTTTCCCATCAAATGGTTTGGTGATAAGCAATTTTCCAGTGTATTGATTAACTGAAAATGTTCTCAAATTAATATTACACTTATTTATATAGTGCCAGCCAGGGCTTAAAATTTTAAGTCCTACAGTACTAGCCAGGCCTTAAATGTTACTCGCCACTACAAACCTGAAGGATTTATGGGATACCCCCAGGAATTAATTTCTACTCGCCAGGGCTAAATTGCTACTTACCAATGGTGAAAAGGGATTGGGGAAGGTTGGGGAAGGTTGAGGAAGGTTGCAAGGAATGAGCAGTTAAGGGGTGGGCTTATAGGCTTTCCTAAAGAAATTTGTTTTTGAGGATTCTTGATGGACTACAGAGACCAACTGTACTGGCAGTTTTAGACTAATATTTTACAATGTTTCAAAATGTAATGTAAAACAAAAGCAGTAGACTCATCCAATAAGAATGTATTTCTATTTCAATAATGTCTTTATTTTTACATTTTTGGACAAATAAATGATTTCATAAGTATAAACCAGTCTACACGTTGCCTCTTTAGTTACTGGGATTTGCAATATAAGTCCTGTGTAAAACAAGTGTGCACATCCTACAAATGGTTGGCATTAGAAGTATTTAGATTTTTGTGAATCATTGCTTCGTACAACAGGTGGTCCTACCAAACCTAGGCGTATGCTTCTTTTTAGTACCTATGATAAAACAAAGGCTAAACAAACGTTCAAACTCTCATCGCAAGAAAACATTTCCATTGAATAACAGAAAACTCTGTGTATATTAAGTACATTAGAATATTAAAATGCTTAGTGCAAAAAAAGGCTTTATTGCTTTATTTACTTTCTATGTATACAAAGAGCTAATTTCTTTTTTTCTTTTCTTTTTTTTTTAGGAATGTTCACCCTTTCGGAGGTTGCATCACTTAATGACATACAACCCACATACCGTATTCTGAAACCATGGTGGGATGTATTTATGGATTATTTGGCGGTGGTCATGTTGATGGTTGCTATATTTGCTGGCACAATGCAGCTGACCAAAGATCAGGTTGTTTGTCTGCCAGTATTGGAATCTGCTGTAAATACAAGGACTCCAATGAGCCGATCAAGTGAGAACAACCCACAAGTCACTTCAACATTTGAAGAGACAACTATTGTTGCCAAGGAAACTTTGCAATCAACTCTTTCTCCTGTCACACAAGAGTTTATAAAGATTCCATTAGTAAGACCTACAGGCTCTCAAATGAATCCAAGTGAATCTTCAAATCAGCAACTGAAGAAAGAGGAAAGAGATCCTGGAGGGAAAAAAACTAATCTGGATTATCAACAATACATTTTCATCAACCAAATGTGTTACCATGTGGCGCTACCTTGGTACTCCAAGTATTTTCCTTACCTTGCTCTGATCCATACAATTATATTAATGGTTAGTAGCAATTTCTGGTTTAAGTATCCAAAGACCTGCTCAAAAATTGAACACTTTGTATCGATACTTGGCAAGTGCTTTGAATCCCCATGGACAACAAAAGCACTGTCCGAGACAGCATGTGAGGATTCTGAAGAGAATAAACAGAGACTTACTGGTGCACAGTCCTTCCGTAAGCACCTCTCCAACAGCAGTGAAGATGGAAGTCCAAGCCCTAGTACTCCAATGATCAGTAAGTCTGGACTTAAGTTCTCAGCTGACAAGCCTGTTGTTGAGTTTCCAAGTATGACTATTCTAGATAAAAAGGATGGCGAACAGGCAAAAGCCCTTTTTGAAAAGGTTAGAAAATTCCGTACCCATGTAGAAGACAGCGACTTGATTTATAAACTTTATGTTGTCCAAACGGTTATCAAGACTGTGAAGTTCATTTTTATTCTGTGCTACACCTTAACATTTGTGACCGCCATAAGCTTTAAACACATCTGTATTCCTAAAGTGGAACATCTTACAGGTTATCAGGAATTTGAGTGCACACATAATATGGCCTTTATGTTGAAGAAGCTCCTAATAAGTTATATTGCTCTGATTTGTGTTTATGGACTTGTTTGCTTGTATACATTGTTTTGGCTTTTCAGGAGGCCACTAAAAGAATACTCATTTGAAAAAGTGAGAGAGGAAAGCAGCTTCAGTGATATTCCTGATGTAAAAAATGACTTTGCATTCCTTTTACACATGGTTGACCAGTATGATCAGCTGTATTCTAAGCGGTTTGGTGTATTCTTGTCTGAGGTCAGTGAAAACAAATTGCGAGAAATTAGCTTGAATCACGAATGGACTTTTGAAAAACTGCGGCAGCATATCTCGCGAAATGCTCAGGATAAACAGGAACTGCATCTATTCATGCTTTCTGGAGTTCCAGATGCAGTTTTTGAACTTACTGACCTAGAAGTCCTAAAACTTGAGCTGATTCCAGAAGCTAAAATCCCAGCCAAAATCTCTCAAATGACTGCCCTTCAGGAGCTCCATCTTTATCACTGCCCAGCAAAGGTGGAACAAACTGCTTTTAGTTTTCTCAGAGACAACTTAAAGTGCCTTCATGTGAAATTTACTGATGTAGCCGAAATACCTGCATGGGTCTACTTACTGAAGAATCTACGTGAGTTATACTTGATGGGAAATTTAAATTCTGAAAACAATAAAATGATTGGGCTTGAATCTTTGAGAGAGTTGCGACATTTAAAGATTCTTTATGTAAAGAGCAACTTATCCAAAATTCCATCTAACATAACTGATGTTGCTCCACATTTAACCAAATTAGTCATTCATAATGATGGCACCAAACTTGTTGTACTGAATAGCCTTAAGAAGATGATGAACATTGCAGAACTAGAACTCTATCATTGTGAATTGGAAAGAATACCCCACGCTATATTCAGTCTCACCAACTTACAAGAATTGGACCTGAAGTCAAACAGCATACGTACCATTGAAGAAGTCATTAGTTTCCAACACTTGAAGAGATTGACTTGCTTAAAGTTATGGCACAATAAAATTGTGAACATTCCTCAATCCATCTCACAGGTTAAGAACTTGGAAGCTCTTTATTTATCCAATAATAAACTTGAAGCCTTACCGGGGGCACTTTTCACTTTACTGAAATTAAGGTATTTGGATGTTGGCCACAATTATATCTCTATGGTACCCCCTGAAATTGGACTGCTACAAAACCTTCAGCACTTGTACATCACTGGGAATAAAGTGGATACTTTGCCAAAGACCTTGTTCAAATGTGTTAAATTAAGAACTTTGTGCTTGGGACAGAACTGTATAACTGCTGTGCCCGAAAAGATTGGACATCTCGTTCAACTCACTCATCTGGAGTTAAAGGGAAATTGTTTAGATCGCCTTCCCTTTCAAATCATTCAATGTCGCCTTCTTAAAAGAAATGGACTGATTGTGGAAGATCATCTGTTTGATGGTTTGCCTTCTGAAGTGAAAGAATCACTGGAACAAGATATCTCATTTGCTAATGGGATATAAAGAAAATATCTGTAGAGTTGAAAACCACATTAACCATTATATTATTGTGTGAAAGGCCTAGAAAGGAATTTTGATCTTGGCTAACAAATACATTGCACTATTTGGTTTTATCCAATAAGGGAAATATTTTTCCTCTCTAAAGGGGCACTGTAACTACTACAGCACACTGTAGTTCCTATGGTTGATAGTCTTTGGGTGGCATTCCTTTGTCCTTTTGTGAAACCGTTTTGAAGAATTTGACAAAAATTATGGTTTTTCCCAGCACCCAAATCAGAGCCTCTTAGCCACAAACAAATTCCACTTATATATGATCTGTCTAAAGCTTAGCTGCATCTAGCACTCATAGTTATTGTTGCCACACAAGAAGGGATAGATTTGGTTAGACTTGTGCAAAAATGTGGTTAGTTTGTAAACAAATCGATTCATGCGAATCAAAAGCCTTTTAATACACAACCGATTTATTTGATTTGTCGAGAAAATATTTTTTTTCCTGAATGGATCAATTTGTTTGGGTGTGGGTTAAAATGATTTTGATTCATACAAATCAATTTTTATGTGGACAAAAAACAATTTTGGCACAATTCTAGATTTGGACACAATATATAAATAAAAAAATGGACAGCTTGCATGCGGTTGAGGAGCTGAACTTCAGGTGCTGGAAGAAAAAAATACATATGTGTTGGCCTACACAATACTGAAAAGATGTTTGCTTAGTTTATATTTAAAAAAATAATAATAAAAAATTATGCTTTTAATATAACCAAAAAAAAAATAAAAATTGAATTTAACCCTTGCCATGACTTGCTCTTGCTACTTGTTTGTAAGTCAATAATAATAATTATTATAAATAACCTTGGTAAAACTACAGATTCATTAGTTCTTTTATTTTTGTTCACACTGTCAACTAGTTTCTTCCATCCACCAGGACAATTTGTCCTAATCACAAATACATACCTGTGCTTGATGTATCTATATTGTGTTTAGCCCAACAATGTCATGGGTGTATATTATTTTTATGTAAAAACATAAAAGGAGTTTGGGAGGATACAGGGAGTTACATTTTCTAACATTTCATTCTATGTGAAAGCTCAAATAGAGAACGTGTCTTTCATTTCAATGATCTTGGCTGAAGACTGCTAGAAACAGCCACTTGATTTAAAATGCTATATGCTGATATGTAAAGGCTTGGTGTCAAAAAGGTCTAAAGCAAATCACATTGCACTTAAGTTTGCAGCATTAATGCAGACAAATTCTGCAGTATTGGACAGTCTTTTGCTTTACAATGCATAAACAAATAGTTGCATTTCAAAGAAAGATTTCTTATCTTAAAGGGACACTATAGCTTTATGAATGCAAACATGTTAATGTTTGTATTCCTAATGCTGTAGTATTCTATTGATTATTCAGACTCCGCTACCCCTTCACCCTGCATGAATTAAAGAAAAAAGAAAATACTTTTACTTAATTCTCCCAGCGTGTCTGTCTCCATGTGGTCACCTCCTCCCCCAGGCGTAGATCATCTCAGCTAATCCAGTACTTCCCCACAGCGAAGCATTGTGAGACTTGTACACATGAGTGGCAAGTCACAGGGCTGCCCCAATCAGCATTTCCTACTAGAGATGCCTTTACTCAATGCATCTTTATGCGGAGTGTTAAACATCTCCATGCAGAACATGGATTCACTGGTTCTGCAATCTTGACAGGACCGTACCCAGGAAGTCGCTCTCATGACTGTTGGAGTAACAAACACAAGAGGTGGCCTTAGGCAGCAATGTAAAAACTGACTTTTCTCAGAAAAGGGTGTGTTACCACTGCTCAGCTTGCAGGGACATGCTCTATGCCCCAGAACCACTACATTAAGCAGTAGTGGTTCTGCTGGCTCACTGCCTATAGTGTCCCTTTAACGAAAATTACCCAGGTTAAAACTGGGACTTCTCATTACTTAGAGAATGAGTTAATAAACACATTAAGATTTTTTTTTTTTTAATCATTCTTTATTGAGACTATATACATGTAATAATATTACTTATCACTGTTTTCTGTGACGAATAGTATCTTTTTTGCTGATTTTTCTCCAGACACGGAATTATTTAGTGCCAGATCTCCAGATCTTAACTTAAAGGTTGTAGTATATTTATTCATTTTATATATGTAGTTAACAAATTAGTAGTAGAAAATATTGCAGGTGAAAAAAGAGCTTAGGCTTCACTTCAAACTATGGAGAGGACCAGCTGTCAAGAACTGTTTTGTCTCTAGGTTGCAAGTTTATGTCGACTTCTATTTTGATTGCTTTGTCAATGCTCAAGCTTTTGTTAATAAAATGAAAATCCTAAAATGTCTCTCTCCCTTATTGATAACATATCAAGAAAAAAATACAAATGTATGTTGGCACTTAAACCTGTAACTGGGGCAGGTATCGAGGTTACCCACCTACAATAACCTCAGATGAAATATACACTAGATATTGATACCACGCACCAAAATTTGATGCTGAGAAAATTAAGGAAAATTTTAATTCATGTTCTGTACAAGGTAATTAATTAGTGCATCATTTCAATCAATACTACAATCTAGAAAAGAAAATTAATATACTGTACATCAATATTTACAAATCAATCCAAATACATATAATGTACACTAATTATAGCATTGAACTAGATTCATATACAAAAAGTGTCCCTCCAATGTCTGTGAATCAGAAAAATGATGAAGAAATTCATTGAAATAATTAATTCAAAAATACATTGAAAAAATTAATTGTCAGAAAAGCAGGAAAAAAAAAACAAAGAGGAAAAAAATAGAAAAAAGCAAAAAAAAGCAAGTCTCTGTATAAAATGTTCTTTGAGTGCTCAAATGTATAAAACAAAAAAAAACTTAGAAAAAAAATGAAAAATGCTGGGGGGCGGAGCCTGACTGTTGAAGTGGATAGTCACTTGCTGCCTGAGCTCTGGGCCGAAGACCAGTTGAAAGCAACCAATCGGAGAGTTATAAGTCAAATTACACAGCGTGGGAAAATTCCAAAGAACTTTCCCACGCTGTGTAAAATGACACCGAGCACTCTGATGGTTGGATTTCAAGCCATCCAATCAGAGTGCTGTGACAGGTAAATGTAGAGACTTACCAGTCAGTCTCTTCATTTACCTGTCAGAGCACTCTGATTGGTTGGCTTAAACCAACCAATCAGAGTGCTCTGAGCCTAATTGCAGGGCGGGGAAAGGCTTTATAAGCCTTTATCCGCCCTGGGGAGCTTAGTCTACGCGGTGCCCTCCATGGGTAAAGATCGATTATTTTTAGCGTTGGGTTTATTTTTTTGTCTGATATTTGTTTTGGGGTGCTCGTTTATTTTTTTAGTATTTTTTTTAAAGTGCGACGGGTATTATGGTTTTTTATTTGGCCTTTTTTAGGGCTGAAAAAATAATATTTTAGAAAAATGAAGACATCAAATGGTAAGTTTTTTTTCTTTTTTTACAAGTACTTAGTTATTGTTCCCCTCTCACTATTTTTAGGGTGAGGAGGGTAGGTAGGGGTTTATTAATTTTTTGGGGAGGGTGGTGACTAGCGGTTTGGGGACCCCTTGTCATCTGGGGGTGGGTAACATTTTTATTTAGGGCCCCCACCTGCCGGTAAGGGGTGGGGGCCAAGGGGGAGGGCAATAGGTCCCCCCCTTATTCTACTTTAGGGCCCCCACCTGATGTTTAGGGGTGGGGTCTGGGACACACACGATAGGTTCCCCCATTGTCATCCAGGGCCCCAACCCGCCGCTCAGGGGTGGAGGCCGGGGGGCAATAGGTCCCCCCTTCAGTTTAAAAGCCTCCACTCCCGTGGCACGGTTGGGGGCTCGAGAGGAGGGCACTTGGGGTTTACTAGACATACCCCTACTCGCAGTATAGTGAGTAGGGGCAGAATTTACTAGTATTAAGTACATTTTTATTAGTATTAGTAAATTTGGCTGAAAGACCAATTTAGGTCTTTCAGCCTTTTGGTAGATAGCTCCCTAATACCGTGGAAATTAGGGAGTTATCTACTTACTCATTCCCATCAATTGACTGGCTAAGTAACTTTCATTTTATATGCACGTGTTACTTGATTGTTGTAAGTGTTGCAAATGCTGACAGCTGAATCCTAGCTGTATGTGTATACTTTTTATTTATACTGGTATACAGTGTAACATTCTTCATTCTTCCACTGGGTATATTAGTACTTTGGCAATTCTGTGCTTCGGCTATTCTGCAAATCCAAAATTTGGCTATTCAGACATTCGGCGGACTTCGTCAGTTCGGTTCGGCACTTCGGAAATTCAGCTATTCGGACACTCGGGAATATATGAATGTCCGAAATGCCCGAAATCTGTCCGAATTCACATTCGGAACGAAATGAATTGCACATGTCTACTATTTTGCAATTATAGTGTGGACTGTGATAGGAGGTATCTCAGCATATCTACTTAACAGTGATTTATTTTTATGCAGACAGGATACAGGACATATGTTTTTCAATGAATGTGTTCAATGTATTTTTGAATTAATTATTTCAATGAATTTCTTCATAATTTTTCTGATTCACAGACATTGGAGGGACATTTTTGGATATGAATCTAGTTCATTGCTGTAATTAGTGTACATAATATGTATTTGGATTTCTTTGTAAATATAGATATACAGTATATTAATTTTCTTTTCTAGATTGTAATATTGAAGTGATGCACTAATGTATTACCTTTTACAGAACATGAATTAAAACCTTCTTTGATTTTCTTAGCATTAAATTTTGGTGTGTAGTTCAATATTTTCTATTTAACATATCAAGAAACCTGTTGGTGTACCAAATCATTAAGTCTAATGGTTTCTTCTTGTTTTGTCTTCATATTAAATAAATATCAGCACTTACATCTGCCTGTACAAAACAGCAAATCGCCATGAGTGGCCATTAAATCATCCCACTGGGTTCTTCTATAGATAAGAGTAAATATACAAACACTCCAAAATTCATCTCCATGGCAGCTTTAGCAAGTAATCCATGACTCAGCCCAAGTTAAAACTATCACTTTATTGTTGTGACTTAAATCTTCAATCACGGAGACCAAAGATAGCATGACAGAGACCACTGACACCTCCTTACATATTTTGTCTGGAGCTACTCATAGGATCGTTAGTGTTTAAGCTTCACTCAGAACTCACATTAACTTCACCAAGTCATGGATTACTTGCTAAAGCTTTTTGTGTAGCTGTATTTTGGCGTGTTATATTTCCTTCAAACAAATGGGTTACAAAGAGGGATTGATGCTGAAATCTGTGTACGGTGACATTGAAAATCTCTTATTAGCTCCAAGTTATGTTTCAGACTTCCTGTGGGCCACTCAGTTATTGGCAAGGTACCTGCTTGCTTATAGATTGGTTTGTTTAATGTCTTTATATTGAGCTTTCACATGGGAAACCCTGTTATGTACATATTTTAACATATTTTTTTACCTTGCATATGGAACAATCTGTAGGTGAGTATAAATTAGTGTATAGCCTCTTAAGCCCATAAGACCGAGACAATTTTTCAACTTCTGAACCAAAAACAATTTGCGCAATGTGTTTGTCATTTTTCTCTTTAAGACCACCCATAGATATCATATATTGTTTTTAAAGCACAGATATTGCTTTCCTTTAAAATCCTCTATGTATACCTTACACACAAGTAAAAGGACACTATAGGCATCCAGAACATTTCATCTCATTGAAGTAGTCTGGGTGCAGTGTCCCTGTTCCATTAACCCTGCAATGCAAAACATTGCAGTTTTAGAGAAAGAGCAATGTTTACATTGCAGCGGTATTCAAAGACTGCCTCTTGTGGCTAGAAGTGCCTCCTGCAGTTTCAAGGAGGTGGACTCAGTGAAACAATGCTGGGCGTCCTCAAGCTGTGCAAACACTTTTTTTTTCTATGTCATGTTAATCTTTCTCTGGTGCAGACACTGCATGAGGTATATAGGTGTTAGGGAATTAAAGTGGGGAGAATAAGATATTTGAAGTGGCTCTATTGAGGAATGTGGATTAATACTACCTACTATATGTACCCACAGCACCAGCCCTAGAGCTAGGTGTAGTTATACCATAATGGCATCAGTTGGTCAATGGGAGAGTGGGCTGTGTTTGTCATGGCTCTTTTACACAGTTCCTCTAGTCTTTGCAAGATGTGTAACCTAACAAGTTAGCACTATCTAAACTGGCTTACATATTGCTCACTCTGCAGAATTACTATATAATTTACTAAACTAAACAATACATTCCAACCTCTTGTCATTCCTCATCCTCCTCGTCCTCGACCTATGCTGCTGTTGGTTAATCATCAAGCCCTTATCGCTACTTTAACTAGAATAACACTGGGTTTGCCCTTGTCTTTCGCTTATTCTACCTCTCCAGCCATTGCTTTTGCTCTTAAGAATTCATCCACTGTGTTAACGCTCCTCACCATGAAACCATTACACATCCAATTCCTTTGTCTGCTTCCTTTTCCTTTTGGTGAACTTAAAGCCTCTCGTTGCCTAAATACTGTGTCAGAGCAGGTGATCTATAGATTTATTCATTTTTTGTACTTTTCTTTCCCACATAACCCTTCTCACTATCTCCCTAATACTGCTTTGTGGATGTCCTCACACCTCCTATAAATAATTATATCTAAATTCTCTGCAAAAATCACTTTCCTACCACCACCTTCACCAAGTAATTCCTTTTTCTCATAGTTTCCTCTTGCATTAAACTTGCCTCCTAAATGCTTTTTTGTTTGCCCCTCTTTGGGAAACCATTATTCTAGTATGATTAGTGATGAGTGAGCTATACTGAGAAATTGTAGGTGGCTTACTATTAACAATTTATGCAACTAAAGTTTAGAACAAGAAACATGTATCTCATTTTAGACTGATTCCTAAACACATTTATTGTAGTTTAAAGAAACATTGCTGTCAGTTATATTGCTGTGGAGCTCTGTTATACACTCAGACACACCAACAATATGGAGCTCCTAGAAAAGTAGACATTTGGATAGAAAAAAAAAGAACAGAATGATTTGTGGCCAAAATAGGGCTGTGTCCCTAAATAGGGGTACTAGTGCAGTGGTAGGCAATCTTCGGTACTCTAGATGTTGTTGACTACATCTCTCATAATACTCTTACAAGTATAATGCTGGAATGCATCAGGCGAGATGTAGTCCACAAGATGTGGAGTGCCAAAGGTTTCCTGACCCCACTCTAGTGACGTATTTGTATAATTGTGTGTTTTGACATGTGAAATGTAAATTGACCGAACGCAACAATTCCCCTGTTTGAGCTATTTCTCTATCATTCGTATTTTTTTCTTTTTAAATTTACACTGTAAGTTTTATATTACTTATGATAAAAAAATTATATTTTTATTCTTTTATGTCATCTTTGTCACCTTTATGGGATAACTAATTTTAGGTCACATGATGATATCACACAACCATTTAAAAAATTATATTTTTATTTGAATGTTATATATACAAGTGTGGTCCATATGTCTGTAAACACTTTTGAGAAAACCTGCTGTTTTGGTGAAAGGTGTTAAGTGTATTTTACTTTTATGTTTTTATTTCTAATAAATAAGTGTATTTTTTTTTACTCACGTTGGACCCTCCTAACTGTTCTTAAAAGAAGGTTTTAGCAAGAGGACTCCACTTTTTACATCCTTGTGGGGATTATACCACCTACGCTTCAGGACTGAGCAACACCTACATTTTGCTCTCCTTTTGCACCTCTATTTTTATTATTTTTTTATTACTGCTTTTTATCAGTGAGCACTATTGGTTGTTTTATTCTTTTCACATAATTGATCATCTGTCACTACTAAGTTTAGAATCCCACACCCCTACTGGCGTTCAGATCCAAACATACCATTCATAAAAGAAAGAACCAATAATACCGTCCAAGCGCAAATACTTGGAGTTAGTCGGAAGCTCCCAAAAATTGTGTGTCTTTTTAATATACTCTGCACTTATCACAATACTACAGTATATTGTGTTTTCTTGTGCCCTTATTTTGCATATCCACTGACTGTTACTTGGACCTGAGTACCATCAAAAGGTGACTACCTTACTACTATCCTAAACCACTAGACATACCTCCTTGTATCTTTGAAAGTCTTCATGTTTTGTTATACTGTATTTAGTGCTTCTGTATGAGAAGCATGTGATTGGCTGAATGTGGGATTACTGTGCATGCACATTAGGTCCCCAATTCCTCTCTATAAGAAGAATTTGAATGGCTTGAGATTATCCATCAGAATGATCCCAGAAGAGGAGGAATGGATGCAGCACTGAGAATGGGATGGCACTGGATAAAAGATCATTTTTAAAGGAACACTACCGGGTCAGGAATACAAATATGTATTCCTAATCCTATATTGTTAAAACCACCTTTTGGGTGGCTTACCCCCCTTAAATCTGTTAGAACGTACCTTATTTTAAGCGCCGTGCAGGTCCGTTGGCGCTGGCTCCACCCTGATCTACCTCCTTGGCTGACCTCAACAGAATTAATTATCTCAACGAATCACAATGCTTTCCCAAAAGAAATCATTGGATTGGCTGAGATTGTCAATTTTGATGATCGTAGCTAAGGAGAAGGGCCAGGTTCGGAGCCAAACGCCGACCTGGCTAATCCGCATTTTCTCATAGAAATGCATTGAATCAATGCATCGCTATGGGGAAAGTTCAGTGTCTCCATGCAGAGCGTGAAGACATTGAACTTTAGTCCTAAACACTGTGGAGCACTGATCCTGGAAGCACCTCTAGTAGCCATCTGAGGAGTGGCCACTGGAGGTGTCTCTAGGCTGTAATGTAACACTGCCTTTTCTCTGAAAAGGCAGTGTTTGCGTAAAAATGCCTGCAGGGACTGACTACACTCACCAGAACAAATCTATTAAGCTGGAGTTGTTCTGGTGACTATAGTGTCCCTATAATGTTTTTCTTTTTCTTTCATGGTCAATAATCTGAACGAGCAGAGGAACACTAATATTATAAATATTCTTTAAACAGGGCAATTCCTTCTGTTGTGCTACATTGTCTAAATTTTATTTATGGTTAGAATTCAAATAAATAAAATACAAAATGTCTATAAGCCAATTTACATCCAATTACCCTGTGTCTGCAAATAAAATACTGTATTATAGCTGGTGGCAGGGTTGCTGTGACCAGCAGCGAATCACAGGAGATGATGTTGGGAGCACATGCTGTGAAGGAGCAGACATCAACTTGGTGAAGCTGCCCTCCCTCCTAACTTAATAACAGCAGCTGGCAGAAACTGAACAGTCGCTATTAACAAAAATATACACAATACAAAAAATTAAGGGGCAGACTGCTGCGACCTCCGAACTGCCAACCTAAGCCCAGGGTTTGCTTGTAGCAAATATTTCAGACTACTGGATCAGACTACTCATGTTGTTTTCACTATACACTGCCAAGCTCCTGTGCATGGGCGTCCACAGTGTCATGAAGGGGAAGGGCATAGTCATAATGACATAATGAGCAGGCATGCAAAGGGTTGAGAAACATGATGCAAAATTTTAACAGAAGAAAGTTGCCATTTTCTGATTTAACACACGCACTGACAAACATACAGATGCACAGACACACAGATACAAACACTGACATACATACAGATACACAGATACATATACAAACAATACCACACATGCAGATGCACAGACACACAGATACAAACACTGACACACATAAGGATACACAGATACAAACACTACCACACATGCAGATGCACAGACACACATAAAGATACACAGACACATAAGCAAACACACATCTAGATACACCAATACAAACACTGTCACACATGCAGATACACAGTTACACAGAAGCAAACACTGACACATTTACCGATACACACACTGAAGAAAACCCTGACACACATAAAGATACACAGAACCAAACACTGACACACATCTAGATCTACAGATACACACACACACACTGCCACAAACACAAATACACAGACAGTTACAAACACTGATGTGTGCTTTTTTTTTTTTTTACATGCATGACAATATTTATTCTACATTAATTTTTGACTGCTCAGGCGAAGACTCATTTTGCATCCCCCCTCCCCCCAAAAATAATGCATCTTCACCTCTGTGTTTCTTAACCCCCCTTTTGAATTTCTAACCCCTCCTGTGTTTTTTATCTCCTCTCTTGAATCTTACTCTTTTTATTGTGTATCTTACCACCTCTTTAGTGTATCTGATAAACCATTTCCCCCCTTTGTATCTACACCCCCTTTGTGTCTTACTTTCCCACAGCCCCTTTGTGTCTCTTACTCCCCCCCAGCCCCTTATGTCTCTTACTTCCCCTAGTCCCTTTGTGTGTCTCTTTATCCCTGTGTCATTGTCCCCTTCCTCAGTCGCTCTCTGTGTCATTGTCTCCTATCCCAGGAGCAGATTAAACAGATCTGGATAGAAAAAACTCCTGAGTATGGTAACACTATAGGAGGAAAAAAAATAACAAAAAGGAAAAAAAAAGAAAGAACTTATAGTGTAGTATGTAATACAAAAAACAAACAAACAAACATATGGTAAAACATGGCAAACATATGGTAAAAAAGAGTTTTGTGCAATTATAGTCTTGCCCCTTGGCTCTCTTTTTTTCTCTGGTCCTCCTCTCTCCAGCACGGCACGTTGGTTAGCTGGGAGAAGGTACATTGTACTTGCTTTGTTCAGGGATGTATTAGCCACAAGGCAAACAAGGCATTTGCCTTGGGCGGCACTTTCCAGGGGGCGGCAAAAAAAAGCCGCTCCCAAATGCCTGGCGGCTAAGTGACAATCCATGCGGGCGGCGCTGGCGAGGGAACACTGATTAGTGAGCTCTCTGCTCAGCTCCCTCACGCGCCGCCGAGTGATGCCGGGAGCTATGACGTGGGGGGGGGGCAGCACAAAACCAGGATACACCACTGGTTTTGTCCCAGCACCGCAGTATCACAAAGAGATGGGGCGCATGAACGGGCCAGCCATTGGGTTACCCTAACTGCATGGGCCAACCAATGGGTCCCTTCAGTTGTGGGAGGTCGTACCAGGTAGGGTTAGGGTTGGTTTAGGGGTAGGGGTTAGGAGTAAGGTTAGGGGTTGAGGTAGGGTATGGCTAAGGGTTGGGGTAGGGTTAGGGGTTGGGGTAGGGTAACCTTAACCCTTTTCCTAACCCTAACCCTGCTCCTAACCCAACCCTAACCCTAATCCCTACCATAACCCTACCCCTAACCCTACCCCTAATCTAACACTACCCCTAACCCTACCTCTAACTCTACCCCTACCCTAAACCAACCCTAACCCTGCACTTACCCAAAGTTCCTAAGTGCCGAACCGAACCGAAGTTCCGAAGTGCTGAAGTCCCGAATTTTGGAATGCCGAACAGAATATTTTTCCCATGCACATCCCTAATAAATATGTATATATATTCTACGTGTATATTTATGTAATATTTTTACATAATTAAGTAATTTTATTGATTTCAATTTAAGGGACCTATTTAACATTGTACCACTAAGTGCAACAGGACACTGTACCCAGACTACTTAAATTAGCTGAAGTGGTCTGGGTGCCTACAGTGTCCTGTTAACCCTGCCTACTCTGCCTGTATGTAGTCACCACTCTGTGAGAACATTGACAACTAGTTTGGCATAGGTCTTGATTGGAAATTCTGAACACTACTAGGGCTGATATAAACAATTTAAATTCCTTGTATTTTACACCTGAATTATTTATTTATTTATTAAACATTTTACCAAGAAAGATACATTGAAATTTCTCTCATTTTCAAGTATGTCCTGGGTTCACAAAACATTACATTGATACAGTGGAGTACAATAAAATACAAAAACAATATTAGTACACAATATATACAAAATTTAACATAGAACAGGTAGGAAATATATAATCAACCATGATACGTGCATTCTGTTTTGAGGTATGTAGAGAGGGATTTCTTAAAGAACTTTAGGCCTGGGGAAGATTTGAAAGTGTGCGGGAGGTCGTTCCATAATTGTAGGAAAAGTAGGATCTGGCTGCTTTCTTTTTGTATTGAGGTAGACTAAATAAAGTGCTGGTACTGGATCGGAGATTATAGGAGGTGGGAGAGCATTCTGCTCAGGTAGGGTGGGAGCTTCCCAGAAAAAGCTCTTAAACACAAAGTTGGAAAGATGAAGGGTGCATCTGGATTCCAGTGACAGCCAGTTTAGTTCTGGATTGATCCATTTGGGATTTACCAGTGGAATAAAGCATAGCTGATTTTTTTCCCCCAGTTATTTTTTACCTTAAATTTTAAATTCAGTTGAAATGTTCACTTTCGTGAATAACCCTATTATTCTTAGCCTAATCACTACATAATTTTCATCAAGGGGTAAGATCTTCATACTCCTGTTTTTCGCATTTTGGAGATGTTGGAGAGCTAGCTCTTGGAAAAAAAAAGTAATGCTCCTTCCCTGAAATCTCCTGTATCCTTTGTGAGCCTGAGGCGAAAACCAGAAATTTCATCCTCGGCAGCCCCTCTGCACCAAAAGCTCTGCTGCGTAAATTGGTGATAGAGTCATAAAAATCTGGATAGCGGGTGATACCAGGGAAAACCAGGGAAGCAGCTATTCCAAACCAGGGAAGCTGCAGAGTGTGATCAGGGAGTAGCTGTGAAATCTGGGGAACCATGTGACAAAGTGTGCCTGGCTGGCAAGGTTTGCTTGGCACTGTAAGAACGGACTTCAACACTGCCCTACCTGCACTTACCTCTCTTAAGTATTTCCCACCGCCCAGATGGAGTGTGCATACTGGTCACAGGGCAGAGGCAATTTGACTGGGGGACCCTGAAAGTTATATACTGGAGCAGTGCAGTGCAGGCCTTTAGAAGTGACTCTGCAGGACTGTGTGAAATTTGTGAAATCTACGAGACTGCATTTAGGAATCTCTACCACCTTTAACATATTACTCTGACAAGTTACTGCTATTCGTACCCAGCACAACCGTTCTACAGGCTGCTGCTTCTTCATCTAGCCCTCGTACAAAGGTGGAAATACATAGAGGAGCTCACGTAAGCAGATCCATTGTCCACTGTTAAGGGCCAATATACTGTATGATATCATACGGATATTCTATTTTCCAAATACAATTTGTAACTTATGAAAAATAATTATTAATCTTTTATTACCTTCTATTCTGTTGATCAGGGGGTGTCGGCTTAGTTACTACATCCTGTAGCTCTGTATAGAATACTGCAGCCTTCCCCCCTGCTTCATATATATATATGTATATATATATATATTTGGGAGTCTAGCCAACTTCTTGGTTTTACACCCCTCCCTGTCACAGGTGCCTCATCCCAGGGCCTTATTTAGCCTTGTACTGCAGAGAGCCCCAAATGGAATTTTTTCCCCAAATAAGTGGGTTAATCTCATAAGAGCAGACATTAGGATGTTAGAGTAGGACCTGCCAAAGATGGGGTACATTGACGTTGTGGCAGGCTTACGCAATGTATGATCATATAATGTAACTAAACCCCCATTATTTTTGCCTAGATTAGGTGTTTTTAAAAAAACTAATAAAATCTGTCAACATTGAAGTTGCTGTTTAGTGGATAGCTGAGTGCGCTGGATCTTGTGTTCTGTATAGAATACTGTCTGGCAGAATCCAATTAGGAAGATAATTTAATCTTAATAAAGGTGACTTATTGACTACTAGCGCGGTATGTATAGCAAACATTGGAGAATTATGGGGAAACACTCACAAACAGGTCCTAGCTCTAAGACAAATATGCCAAAGCCTGAAACAATAAAATAAGATTTCTCTTGGTATTCATATGAATATTAATGACTCATAAAAGGGTATGTCGGAGACCTTAGTAGATCATACAACTGCTGCACATGTCAGTACACCTAGTTCCAATCAGTGACCTTTCTGCAGACACGGTTTATATACACATACAAAATGTACCCCAACCGACTGATCTGTGAGAATTATGAAAGACTCTCCCCTCAAGCGAGGATATAATATTTATAACTGCCAAAGCACTACAACCTATTCTGGACGAACTTAATAAACAGAACTTGAATGAAATGTGTAATAGGGTGGCTACTCTGGAAGTGGATGCCGTTAAAGCAGCAACTGCATTTGATGCTTTGAATATAAAAGTATTCAAACAAGATGAAGCTCTTTCATAGCTAATGCAACAGAAGATATTCAAAACAGAAGCAGAAATGCAATATTAGGATTCGTGGAGTACCAGGATAAATTCCTACAGATGCTATACACACAACTTTACAAGATCACTTCACAACAATCCTCCAAAGACCACTGACAAGTCATGATATTAAACTAGATAGGGCACATAGAACATTTAAACCAATCTCCTCTGACACTGCATCTTCAAGGAATGTGATTTGCCTTATCCACAATTTCATGGAACGAATAAAGCCAGCAGGCTCTCCGATTCTCCTATTTCCACACTTTGCACCAGCAACCTTCCTGCGCCCTTTAGCCAAAGTGTTGCAAGATAAGAATTTAAAAATATCTCTGGGGATTCCCTATCTGTCTCACAGTCCTTAAAGATAGCATGCAGCACACTTTTAAACAGTTTTTTTTTCAATTTGAAACGTAAAATTTTATTTGTGTTTCACAAGGTTAAGCGTTCGGCGCCTGCCCGCCAGGGTACAGAAAGTAAAAAGAGGGTATTGCAGGTACTTTTCGATACATCACATGGGGGTTATACATGTTGCTTTCACATCCCCGCCTTGTTAGCCTAACTAGTTCCATTGCCCATTATTGTGTGTTACTCTCGTGGGACTCGTCCAGCCCCCTATTGTTTGGCTTTGACGTCCCTTGGTGTTTTCCTCTAGTTGCCCGCTTTATTGTGCTTCATGGGTCACCCTTGCAGTGTCTCCCGCCTCTCTTGCTCCCCCTTCTTTGTTTTTTGCGTTTCCCCTGTGTCCTGTGTCAAGTCTCGAGTGGTGTGTCCCCATATATGCCCACCATTTCTCTCCCGCTATGCCAATGTGTTTTCGTTGTCTTAGGTGTGCGTTTGCCATCTGCTCGTACTTCCAATTAAGGGAAATTTGGTCGAGTAGGGCTTCCTTCGTGGGTGCTGTCTGAGATTTCCAGGCTCTGGCTATGAGGGTTACTGCTGCTATGAGCAGGTGAAATATGAGCCCTTCTTCGGTTTTGCTTAGGGTCTTTGGGATCATGAATAGGATGCTTTGTTCAATAGTGAGTGGCCAACTTCTGCCTAGCAGGTTCCCTGCTGTATTTTCCACGTCTTTCCAGTATTGCCTGATTTGTGTGCATGTCCACCATATATGGCTCATCGAGCCTCCCACGGCTCCACATCTCCAACAAATGTTGGGCGAGTGTGGGTAAAGGGCTGCTAGCTTCTCCGGTACCATGTACCATCGATATTGTAGCTTCCGTATAGTCTCTAGGTGAGTGGTGCAAAGTGTGTTCCCTTTGTGTATCGAGAAGGCTCGCTTCCAGTCGTCTGTCTCTAGTGACCTTCCCAGTTCTGCATGCCACGCTGTCTGGAATGACCTGACTGCCCCTGATCTCTCTGCTATTAGAGCAGTGTACAAATGCGATAGAATTTTCTTTGGGGGTCTGCCTGATAGGCAGTGGGTTGTTGCGTTGCGTGAGTTTTGTGGGTTAGGGGCTTGTATTTTGGTGCCCGTGAGTAGGGAGTTAAGTTGTAAGTAGGAGAACAATGCTCTACTGGGTATATTGTGCTTAGTTTGGAGTTCTGGGAAGGGGATTAGGCGGTTGTCTTCATATAGGTGGTGTATCTCGGTGCAACCCGCCTTCCCCCATGTTTTGGCGTCAAAGGATGGGATGCCCACTGTTAGACACGAGATTGGGGCGTTCCCTTTTATGTCTCTGTGGTCTCCCTCTTTTTCCCTTTGGTCGTCCCAGCAAGTTAATGTGTGTGTTGTGGTAGGTAGGGGTTGGAAGGACTTGGGGCGTAAGTGCTTTGGGAGCCAGAAAAGATCCCGTAGGTTCTGGGTTTGCGCCCAGTGTGATTCTATTTGGGTCCACTGTAGTGGCTCCCCCATTGTTGTGGCAGTTTTGACCGATGCTAGTTGGGCTGCTCTATAATATGTTCCTATGCATGGGAGGCCCAGTCCTCCTTCCACGATTGGGTTTTGGAGGGTCACCGCTGCCACCCTTGGTCTTTTGTTAGCCCACACGTACTGAGTTATTATTTTCTGTAGAGCGGTTATATATGATTTTGGCAGTGCCATGGGGAGGGTGCGTAGTAGGTATTGGAACTTGGGCAGCAGCATCATTTTGATTGCCACCAATCTTCC